TATGATAGGGTGGTATTAATAAGTTTAGAATTCTCTATATATGTATCAGTTATAAGATTATAGTTATATAATTATAAAACTAACATCAGTTTGCTTCAGCCTGCAAAACTAGTTACTTAGCCTCTGAATTCTGTTTCCTGTCTTCAGTCATGTCAAGTAGTTTGATCTGTTTTTATACCAGAAGAGGAAATGCATCTCTCCTAGATCTCTCTGAGACTGTTTCCCAGTCATATGTAAATTGTATCTTAATTTGCCTATTTACCAGGAAAAGGACTGGGCCCTTCTGGAATTATTAGTACTTAAATATGAACTATTTTTTTCAGATTGTAGAAATTCTTTTTGTTACTAACAAAAGTATATTGTTAAATGAGCTAGCGTTTCACCCTCCTATAAAATCTGATGACTACTCCCAGATGGGGAGGCAGTCTTAGAGGTGACTTGCTGTCTCCCAGATCTGTGTAATAAAGTGCTTATGGATATTGCAATCTGATTGTCTTATGGGCAATTGACTATGGAAAGAACCCCTAGCATTCAGTAACATTCTGGCAACCCAGATGGGACCTTAAGACTCACCTGGTAAGTAAAAACTTTTTTTTTCTCCCTGAGGGATTCTGAATCTCGTGGATAGGAGGACCCTGAGAGCAGGTATCTCAAACGTCCAAAGGCACCACCAAGACCTTTTGTCTCAAGAGAGCTTTGAGAAATCAACTCTTAGCATCCTTCATTGCCTTCGCAAATCCATGCACTTTATCTGGTAACTGCGCACTTAGTAAAAATATTTCCGTTTTGGCCAGCCCTAGGGAATGCACGTGTGTGCCTGTAGCCAGCTACCTGGGAGTGGGTTGGCAGTGAGCTGCCCATTCAGATCTGAGTGAGTGGGTTAGTGTGAGCTGCCCATAGAGATCTGGGTGAGTGGGTTGATGTGAGTCGCCCACTTCAAATCTGTATCTGTTGCACAGTTGTGGCTGTGTTAGTTTCTGTACTTTAGACAGGAACCTGTAGGAATGGAAGCAGAAGCTCTTCACTCTTCGTTTTGTATGATTGGAAGCAGAAGCTCTCTGCTCTTTGTTCTTTTTAGCACGTTGATTGATGCCTGCTTGTATCAATCAGATCTGATTGAAGCTGCATTGCATTTAAGGAGTGAAAGTTATATTTGATGAGTAAGATTTGTGCTGTATCTGATGAGTGAAAGTTCTATTTGATGAGTAAAACTTGTGCTGTATCTGATCAAAAGCTATACTGTTATTGATATGATGACTATGTACCTGACTCACATCTAAAGATTGCACATGTATTAATAACACTGTTCTTTTGTTCATTTCGCTTTAAATCATTGCTCAAAAGTAAGAAAAAAAGTTTCCATTCTGGTAAAAAAGTCTGTTAGAAAAGAATTCTGTATGATTGACCTGGTTGCTAATATTATCCTTAGCCAAAAGAATATTTTTTAATTTCAGTAAAAATTTAGCATTTTTTATGTTATTTAGGTTGTGGTAAAAAGAAAAAGTAGCCTTTGTGCAGATCCTTATTCAGCAAGTAATATTATTTCACCAGAGGTAAAAAAAATTGAGTAAGATCTGTATATATCGGCATTTAATATTCTATACTATAAAAATAAGAATGTAGAATGCACTTGTTCAATGAGAGAAAAAAGAAAGAAGTTATAAATTTTCAGATAGTGCCCAAATCAAGGCGGGGGGCGGGGGGGGTGATACACCAGTGACACTTAATAGTAAAAACCTAAAGTAAATGTCACTCCAGGAGAACTGAGGAAAAGCAGCTTTGATAATTTTTTTCACCTCATAACCTTTCAGCAAGGGCTACTCAGAACAAGGCCAAACAATACCCCCTCAGGTAGTTATCTAGAAACTCTATAATCTATATGGGCAACCTAAGATCTTACGAAGAACATTTTTTTCCCTCTGCCGCAAATCAAAATGAGAAAAATAAAAAATAAAAATTTCAGACTCTTCTATGAAGGTGATTATTAATATAAGAGACATAATAATCACTATTTTCTTAGCTAAGTGAACAAATTCAACTTTTCTTAACCCAGTTTCTGGCTGGTGAAGAGAAGAGACGTAGTAGCAGCTTGCCTTCATGGAGATAATTTGAAAACAATTGCTTCACTAAGCCTAATTCGTATCTAGATAGCAGAAGCCTATGGCAGAGGGAACATAAAAAGTACAGTCTCTTAAGGCCAAGAAGAAAGGAAGCTCCAAGCCTCCAGGGCCATTCTGCAGCACTCAAATGGAAATCCTTTCCTGTTTTTGAAAGGCTGTATCAAATTTTCTGTAAGTACACAGATCTTGGCTCAGAAAACTCTGCTAGAGTCTGAATAATTAACCTGGCTTTTGTTTTCCCAGAGCATCCCTGACTACAAAAGATGGACTGAGCCATTGGCACAAACTCAACTCAGCATGGTCAACTTCACAACCGAGGCATTCAACAACTGAGAATGCCAGATATCTCCAGATAATGCTATCTTTGGAAATAACACCCCGAGCATACTCCAGAGGTCCCACCAGACTCCCTCAGCCCTTGGACTCATGAATGGGCATTCTCACCCCAGTGGTCCAGTGAGAAAGACTGATAGAATATGGGGCCATTGATGGGGAGTCCTGAGTTGCCTCTTGGGGAAGCAGGTAGACTGCAATGGAGAGAGAGGCCCAGCCAGTCCTACTGCCCAACAGGAGTAGCTGCTCCCAGGACAGGTTGCCTGGACTGTGTGCAGGGTCAGGGCCCTGGGAAGATTTGGGCCAGGGATGGGCTTCCACCTCCTTCCAAGAGCATATGGGGCTAGAGTCTGGAGCCAGGAGGGAACTGGTCACCAGGGTATGTTGGGATGGTGAGAGAGCAGGACAGAGTCAGGCTTATAAACTGTGAGCAGGGGTTCTTCACGGGGCCAGGCTTTCTACACTGTCAAGTGCTGGAGCTGCAGGAGGCCAGCTCATACAAGCTGTTACATGTCAGGACCACAGGAGGGAGGCTTTGGAAACTGTGGTGCTAAGCGGCTGCAGGAGCCCTGGCTTTGCAAACTGTGGAGTTCTGGTCCTGCAGGAAGCCAGCTGTTACAAACTGTGAAGTGTTGGACCCACAGGAAGCCAGACTCTTTAAACTGTGAAATGCCAAACACCTCCAGATAATGCTGTCTTTGGAAATATAACCGAAGGTAAGATGATCGGACCCCAAGAAACCCCCAAGAGGAGAAAGGAGACCTGAGAGAGACAAAGGGAAATATTTATTCCAAAAAGCAAGGACATTAGAAGAAGGCCTATCCAAAGTCCTGGGGAAGGCCCTCTTTAGAAAAACTTCCAGTTCGAAGGATGACAACTTGCTGATTTATTTGAAGAGGATCAAAAGGGCCAGAGTGAGAGAAAGTTCAATCTCATTTGTCAGTGACTTCTGTCATCCCGTTGCCTTCTTCAAGCACACGCTGAAGACCCCAGACAACAGTGACTGTATAAGGTCTCAGAAAGACCTAAAAACTAGTTCTTCTGAAACTCTGAACCTGGAATATTTCAATGAAAAAACTGTAAGTGTCTCATAGGCCATGCTTGGCAAGATCATAAGAAATATTCTGAAGAAATAAAGATCAAGTTTGGAGTTACTGAAAGCCTTCAGAGTGACAATAGGAATGAAGTTGACAGCCAAGCCCTGTCAGGAAACCCATCTCTAGTATAATCAGGGGTTGCTTTAGCCTTGTTTTGAATTAAACTAGCACTAGAAGTAGGCTTAAATTAAGACTATAAAATTGTGTGTGAGAAACTTTATCTAAGCCACTTTCCTCCATCTCCTCTAGTATAGCAGTAAATAACACTTCTAAAATCTTTTTCTTTGTAACGCACAAGTTTGTTCTCTCTAGGTTTGCTCCCTTTCCTATAGGTAACCTGAACACTGAGGTTTTGTTCCAGACCCTGAGCCTTGTTCCAGAGATAAGACTGACAGCTTAGGAAGCAAAGTTCAACCAGCCTCTTCCAGTGGACTCAACCTCAGATCTTGCAGTCCAGAGGTCAGAGAACGCCATGAGAATATTTTCTAACTGAACAAGAAGGCATGCGGCTTGAACTCAAGACCACCAATGAAGAGTTCAAGTGGGTTCCCCTTCCCCTCCATCTCAATGCCCCAGTTCAGCATGAAGCAGCCAGAGTCTGTGCCCCTGTTCACAAATGGGGAACACACAAATAACTCCCCCAAGAAGCAACCCAAACGTTTATCTGATAGATATAAGACATATAAAAAGAGGGGGGAATGATAGGGTGGAATTAATAAGTTCAGAATTCTGTCTACATATGCATGTTATAAAACTACAGTTATATAATTATAAAATTAACATCAGTTTTCTTCAGCCTGCAAAACTAGTTACTTAAGCCTCCAAATTCTCTGGACCCTAACTCCGAAGGGGCCAAGTTGCCTTGCACTGTCGGTCAGGCCCAGGAAAGAGACAAGCCGTTCTCTCCCTACAGGCGGCAGTATAAAACTTAACCCAGATTTCTCACTTGAGTTAACTCCGGCGTTAGTGGCAGGTAAGCCAGACCCGTCTGACAGGCTGGGTAGCAAAAAGAAATGCAAGCGACGGCGCCAGCGCCAGGAAGTGGCGCTGTTCCACCTGCCAGGCCCGAGGGGGAGCACCCCCTCATCACAGCATCCCTGGGGGCTTCGTCTGCCCCCACCTGCATGGCACTGAGAACCAATCTGGTTAGGCCAAAAGGATGGTTTACTCCCAAAATCCTCTGAAATACATCTCCACGATTTCTAAGAATGAAGGAAGAAGTGGGAGCCAGCTCCGGTCACACTTGCATCTTGAAGCGCAACATTCCGTGTCACCGCCAGAATCGGGGCCAAAATGCGCGCGAGACCACCTCTGCCTCCCTCCTTCTCCCTCCACCCGCGCGGTGCTGGGTCCGCAGACACACGTGCGAGCCGGATCCTCAGCTGCTGCGCCCATGCTCCCTGCGCCGGGTCCCGCCGCCGCACGGGGCCAGCACGCGCCTTCCACTCACCAGGTGAAGAGTTTGCCTTTCAGGCTGCGCAGGCGGCTGGCGAACGCGGCCGCCGCTCCCGGCGTGCGGGCCTGCGGGGCGCCAGGCCCCTCGGGCGAGGATACCTCCATGGGGTCCACTGCTCAGCTCCGGGTCTCTGCGTCCGCCCCCCCCCCAAGTGCTGGGGCGCGGAAGGCAGGAGGCGGAGCCTGTGCGGCCAAGCGGGGGGCTCGGCTCCGCGCGCGCCACCTCGTGTCCCGCCCGCCCTGCCGCCGGGCTCCTCCCGCTGCGAATCACGACCAGCTGAGCGCAAGGGGCCAAGAGGTGTGTGTGAGCGTGCAGTCTGTGACTGCGCCTCCTGGCTGGCGGCAGGACAAGAAAGCGCGCTTTTTGATTCCCCCCTCCCACCCCTTGGCAGTCAGCCTCGGAGGGAGGTGGCTCCTAGTATGCCTTTCAGATGCTAAATTAGCAACTGAAGTGATAGGAATGTATCCAGGTATACATACTCCCAGGGACACCTAATCTGCCGATCCAGCAGAAGCAAGTGCCTAAACTTTGCTAACTGGAAAGGGCTGGCTAACTCCTCCCTTTCTTATTGTCCTCCTTCTAACTGGTTTGTAAAAGACAGATCCCACTTTGGGGCGGGGGAGGAAAGGTGTAGTTATGTGTTTATTCTCCTGGTAAAATCCTAAATATCCCCCCCGTGTACCCCACTCACCCCCAGTGTACCGCCAGCATATTCTTTCCAATGCACTAATGAGGCCTCTTCATCTCTATCTCAGAGGTGCCAGTCCTGCGGGCTCTCTGTCGGGATGTCTGGACTGCGCTTTTAGATGCATCCTTGGACTAAGAATTGAGGTCGAGAAAGTCTCCACTTTCGCTGATTTAAGAAATCTGTGGGTCTGTTTAACACTCCATTTCAGATTACGAAGATAAAAGAAAAGGTGTTGGGACTCTTTTCCACAGGCCACCTTTCCTGGGGAGCAGGGGAGCAAAATAAACAAATTCAAGAATATGGTAAAAGAAAAATACTGTAGAAATAGCTAGTAAAACGTATATGAAGATCTAAGGGGGGAAGGGAAGCACAAGAGTGAGGATTGAGGGGGGCGTAATCATAGGGTCCACAAATTGATGGGTGGAGGGAAGGCTTTAAGGAAATGGGAAATATCCGTTGTGAAAAACAATGTACACGGAACTTGTATGTAAACCAGAAAAAGTTTTTTAAAGTAAAATCAATTAATAAAATTAAAATTAAAAAACCAATTTGGCTTTTATGTGAGAAAATTCTGAAACTGGAGCTCATTGCTGCCAAGTCAGATCATCGCTGACTCTCCAGAGGGTTTTTAGAGGCTGTAAATCACGTGAAAGGAGCTTCCCCCCGACCCCCCATCTTTCTCCTGCACAGCTCCTGAGGAAATCAAACTGCTTGCCTTTGAGTTGACAGGGCAGCTCTTTACCCACTAGGCCACCAGAGCTTCAGTAGTCCCAAGTTGAGTAGCTTCCGGTTTAAATTTTTTTTTTTTTCCGTTCCAGTGACTTTAAAGAAAAATTGAGGATTAAGAAGTGACCTCTTAGGGGAGCTCTGGTGGCCTGGTGGCAAGGAGTTGCAACTACAATCCCAGAGGCGCACAGTTCGAATCCACCAGATGCTCTGCCGGGAAAGGAGGGACAATCTCCTCCTGTACCAGTCAGATCTGATTTGACGGTACACTCACACAAAAATAATTAAAAGTAATTTAAAAAAGTTTAAAACAAAAGAACTGACCTCTGCATGTACAGAGATTATCAAAGATTACCGACCAAAGTGAAATGCACTCAAAAGTAAAGAATGTGGAATCAAGTAATCACGGAAACTATAAAATGGTCCTGGATAAACAACTGGCTTAAAATAACAAGGAAGCCATTTAAAATGTATCTTGTGTAAAGAATTTAACTTGAGGCAGTTTGCAAATGAATGAAGGTCACAGAAACCAGCTATAACCTGAAGTCAGTTGATCTCAGATAACAGCCATGCATTCAGTCAGGCCTGTTGAGACTAGCCAACAGTTGGAAGTTTATTTTTTCCTTCTTTGGGAGTTCTAGTGGCCCCGTCCTTATGGTGCTGCACTGCTAACCAACTGTGTCTCTGGTGGTTCCAATAAACTAGCTGTCCCAGGGAAGAAAAATGGGCAGTCACCTCCCATTATGATTTATAGGCTGGAAAACCAATGGAAGGCTTACTAGAAGTCACAGCTGACTCCAGTTTTAAGTTTTCTTAAAATTCTCTAGCATGCCTTGAGCATCTGTTTGTTGTTTTTCTTTTTTGCTTTGTTTTATGGGTTTGATTTTGTTTGTTTAACATAATGGCTTTACTGTATGCTACAGAATAAATGCTCAGATAAACCCTACTTAACTTTATTTGGCTTACTTTTATAATTCGTTCTAACATGACTGGATGCCAGTTAAAAGGCATCTCGAGTCAACATAGTCCCAAATGCTGTGTAAGTCCATGGTAAGTCCTGCTGTGTAAGTCCATGATTTCTAAAATCAACACCTCCTCCTGGGTTTAGTTCTCCAGCTCCTCTTTGTCCCTTAGGTTCACTGGAAGATCCTCCAGGGACTCAGACCTGTCAGGGGAATGACTCATGTGACTGTAGGGTATGCAGGCCAGTTATGCAGATTTTGGTGAGTAATGGGTGAGGCTGGAAGCAGCTGGATGCTTAGTCAACAGTATAGGATTTCTTAGTCCAGACAACTTCTTATTCTCCAGCAACCTTGGGCTAAGTCAACAAGTCACACAACCACTACTGTATTGGTTTCTTCACACACCCTTACAGTGGGGAGAATACTTTCTTATATTGGTCCCACAGCTGTTGATGATTTGCAAGACCATGTCCATAGTTAAAATAGCTGGAGACCACATGCCCTAATAAAGTGGATGTTGCTGTTGTTATGATCCCTCAAAGTGCCTGCAACTCGTAGTAACAATATCTCTGGACCCTGTCCTATCCTGAGCCAATCTCACTGTCTCTGACACACCTGCCACTGACACCACAGGATTTTAATTATTTTTTCAAATTGTTAAGTGGGAAGAGGGAGCCTAAAATTCAAATGCATGATCAACTCAAAGACTGCTTAAATATTACAGCACAATCACATTAAGAAGCATGAAGCCCTTGAAAAGAATGTAAGAGCAGAAGTGGGAGGAATTTTCTCTAGGTATTGTTGAGTGAAAAAGTAGGATGAAGAAGCAGTTTAATATGATCCAGTTGTTTTTTAAAAAGATGTAGCCTATTAAACCTTGTATATTGACAATGATTCATTTTACCTGTTGGAAGGGTGGGGGAAGGAACTCTTGTGGCCTGGTAGATAGGGGATTTCACTCCCAACCCAAAGACAGGTCATTTGAATCCACCAGCTGCTGCATGAGAGAAAGATGGGAAATCCTCTTGTGTCATTTACAGCTTCTGAAAGTCCACTGGAGAGTCAGCTCACTTGGACAGCAATGAGTGGGTGGGGGAGAGGAGGAAATAAAACCTCTACAGTTGCAAAAAAAGTTAAATAATTTTTTTCCCAAACTGTTTCAAAGGGAAAAAACAGATAGATAAAGAAATGGCAATGAGGGACTACAAGCAGCACAATTTCTCCGGAGACCAAAATGGCTACATCCTCTTGGAAATTTATATAAATTAGAAAATAAGTTTCCACTTACACAGATGTGCTAAAAAAGGGTGCTCAGACATCCTGCTCACAGGTTTTCTTTGTTATGAGCAAGTCTTATGAAGACACAGGATAGTTGCTGATACAAGAAGAAAGTAAGTAACTGAGAGACAGAATATGATTACCTCTCCTTAGTACAAACAGGGCGCTCTGGTGGCATAATCCAGTTTGTAGGGAGTTGCATGGCTAACACAAAGGTGGCACCTCTCTAGCTATTCCAATCCACGAGTGGCTCCAATGAAGAAAGATGGGCAATCTCCTGCGGTGTGATTTACTCACACTCACTGCTATCAAGTCACAACAGACTTGTGGCTGACACTCTTCTCAGAAGCTGTAAATTGTAAATGAGGAGATTGCCCATCTTTCTTTCTAGGATTAGCTGATAGATTCAAACTGCTTGCCTTTGAGGTGGTAACACAACTCCCTACTGACGGAAAGCTCCTCATGCAATTTACAGCCTCCCAAAAACCAGGTAGTGAGCTATATAAGTTGATCCCAATTCCCTGGCAATGAGAGTAAGACAATTAGATGTGAAGCTATGAAGTATGTAAATGAAGTAGGCATAGGTTGAGTGGGGTGGTTTGGTTTGGGGTTTTACAGGGAGGCTGCCTGTCTTTTAGATGCTAATACTATTGTTATGTACCTTCGAGTCCTCTACTCTACCTCATAACTACCTTATGAACAAAGACTCTGAACTTTGCCATATCCTGAGTCTATCTCATTTTCTCCAGCAAACCTGACCCCATTGCACTGTGTCAATCCATCTCCTCCAGGATCTTCTTCTCTTTCACTGACTCTCACCTTTCCAAGAATGATGCCCTTCTCCAAGGTCTGGCCCCTCTGACAAAATGTTCAAAGTATGTGAGTGAGATGGAGTTTCAAAATCTTTGCCTCCAAGGAGCAACCTGGTTTCACACTCTCAAAGAAAGAACTTTTTGTTCTCTGGCAGTCCATTGTAAGTTCAATAATCTTTTCCAGTATCAAAACTCAAAGGCATCAATTCTTCTCCTGTCATCCTTAGCCATTATCTAACTCTCTGATGCATAGCAAGTAATTGAAAAGACTATGACCTGGGTCAGGTGTACCTTAGTCTCTAGACTGACATTTTTACCCTAGCACTGGAGAGAGGTCCTTATCAGCAGATTTTACCAATGCAACTCATCTTTTGATTTCTTGACTGCTGGTGCCAAGAGTGTCGATTGTAGATCTGAGGACGATGAAATTAACAACTTCAATGTTTTCTCCATCTATCATGATGCTGTCTCTTAGCCTGGTGGTGAGGATTTTTGTTTTCTGGATATTGAGAAGCAATCCATACTGAAGGCTGCAGTCTTTGCTCTGCAGCAAGGGCTTCAGGTCCTCCTCACTTTCAGCAAGAAAGGTTGTGTCATATACATAATGTAGGTTGTTGATGAGTCTTCCTCCAATCCTG